CGGAGGAAATATAAAAGGCGTGCGAACAGTGCGTGGTCTCTCTCTCTTCTTTTCATTTTTTTGGCCATCCACGTCCGGACATTGTTGCGTCATCGTCATTTTTTTTTCTCTGAAGAAGTTACAAATTTAATTGTCTCGTCCGCATAAAAAAAAATTGTTGTGTTCCGTTGTTCGATCACGTACGTGAAGACGTAATATCGTTCATACTGCAGTCAAATGTCATCCGAATCTAGGGGTCTCACAAACCAAACTGGGGCCCGCCGCGAGGCGGACCCAGACCAACATGGGGGCCAAGCCCCCCTCGAGACGATGACACTAATGTTTACCATTGCAGTGCGAACAGCATGGAAGCAAAAATTGTTGAAAACGTCAGCGAACAGCTGCAGCAAGCCGCAATCAGCGCACAAGACTGGCTGGAGCAGGTTAGTGAAATACTAGATGGAATAGTGCCCTCCTGCAAAACCGCCTTAGAGGATAACATGAGGCATATTTCTAATGCTAAGATGACACATATCTTAGACCGTATAAAAGAATTGGTAACAGCGGCAAAAGCACAGGTAGGCTCTTTCCTTGAGCTAGCACAAGAATCCGAGGCGGAAGTTTTTCCGAAAGAAAATGACCTAAGCCTTCCCCAACTTAAGGAATTTTTTGTAACAGCGGGAAAACAAGCTGAAATTTTGCAAGAGCTCACAGAAATTATGAGCTGTACTATAATAGACCTACCCGAAGTTGTGAAACAGCAACAGCGAGATGCTGAGTGCTCCAAAAACTTATTATATCGTTTTCAGGAGCGAGAAAACTATATGGATTTCAATTCTTGGCACGGAAGTACTGCTTCAGGTAATGATACTTTCAAGCAGTTATTTGAGACACTTCGGAGAAGTGCTATGTCGTTGCAGGGCAAACCTCCGACATTCCCGCTCGAGTTTTGCGAGAACAGCGTTGGGCATCGCCGTCGCTAAGGCTCCATATCAGCGAGATTATCGCCGGAATCGTCGACGTTGTGTTCCCCAGGGCGAAGCCAGGGTAAGTCAAGCAACTTATCTGAGTGCTCATCGTGTAAATCGCCGCGTATGGTGATACAGTCGGCGGAGGTGCTGACGGGACTAAAAGAAGTGATGAAGGCGCAGTGCCTCACTGAAGTTGTGAAATACAGCGGCAAAAATTCCTTAGGAGATTTCCTACGTATGATGGACTTTAAGTACCCGCGTAGCGCATGGACCGATTCGGAAAGACGAGACATATTAGTTACCTTGTTGGAGGGACAAGCAAAAATGTTGTTCAAAACACTTCCCAAAGAAATTAAGGAAGGGCCTTATGAGGGCATAGTGCAAGGAACTTAAGGCAGCGCGATCAACACCAGGCGAACGGCTTAAGCTAATCAAGGAATGGGACTCGCTCAGAAAAAGGGAGCTTGAAACTGTTAATGATTTTTGCTACCGCATGGAGCGCATATCGAGGAAACTTCATGGAGAAGCAGATCGTGATTTCCTTCTTGGTAGCAAATTGTACCAATGTTTGGCGGATTGGAAGGACTCCTATCATATGCTGACCGAGCTAGATAGGACGGACGGCAAAGTGTACGAAGCCGTGAGAAAGGCGGCCCTACGCTTGGAGCGCACCCAGCAAGGGCGCCATGCAGAACGATCAAATGGCAAACAGTTCGCTAAAAAGGAACATACCAGTAACATTAAATCCCCCACTAATAGTAGCGGACTCAAATGCTACGGCTGCGGCGAAGAAGGACACTTGCGAAAGAAGTGCCCAAAGCAAAATGGAAAGGACGGCAAGCCACCACGCAAAGGGCAGGAATCAATACAGAACCGTACCAGAGGAGAGGGAGGAACGTTTTCAACTTTTGTCAAGGATTGGTGCTGTGGAGTACGCGCTGAACCCCAGCCACCTGAATATGACAAAAGCGTATGGGAAGCCATATATCTACGATATCACCATCTTCGGTATCGCAGCGAAAGCGATGATCGATACAGGATCAGTCATTTCAATACTGCCTATGGGATTGCTGAAGTTGGCATATCATAGTGGTGCAGACTTAGATGTTATGGTAACCATGATGGATCGTGATACAGAACGTCCAATTTTGGATGCATCGGGAAATGCCATGTCGTTCCTGAAGCTCATTGCAACGGATGTAATGCTACACGGCGCGCGATTGGCGCGAGTGCAAGTGCATGTACAGGATAGTCCGGAGACAATGGTGCTTCTAGGTACAAACGCGCTTCAAGCCTTGGGCGTTGAATTGAGGTTGTCAGGCCTTGAAAAATGCCCAAGTATACAAAGTGCAGGCAATACGTTGGCCAGAGTATCTGAGCGTTGCGTTATACCACCAGGGGCCGCGCGTATCCTAATGATATCTTCCCCAGTGAAGGAAGGAGAACAAGTTTTCAATTCAACAGATGACAGGATAGCTTCAGGGCTCTGCCGTGTGGTGAACAATGTGGCACCCCTCTCAGTAAGGAATAGGGGGATGAGCCATGGGTAATCCATGAAGGCGAACCTGTCGGAGAATGGAGCACGGATAAATGGTACGATCCACGTACAAAGGATATTCCTGGCGATATGCTGGAAATGAACCGTACAGAATCTATGTCACCATCAACAAGAAGGACTGCGCTTATCAAAATGTTGAGTGATAATAGAAAATCTGGACCGATGCCGGAAGGCCTAGTCAAGCTCGTGCGAGATCACGAAGATGTCTTTGCAGTTTCCGATTTGGAATTGCCACAGACTGAGTTGATCAAGCATAATATGGACTTGGGCGCAGCGCCACCTATACATCAACGAACAAGATCGGTTCCGTATGCCATGCGAGCTGAGGTTGACCACATTTTGAAGGATTAGAAAATTAGAAACATTATTAGAGGATAGTCAATCGCTATGGGCGTCACCAATTGTGCTTGTAGCAAAGAAGGATGGCAGTATTCGTCTCTGTGTCGACTACAGAGAGGTTAACAAAGTCACGAAAAAGGACAGCTATCCGCTACCAGCTATTGATGTCACCCTACAAAATCTTAAGGGCAAGAAAGTTTTTCTCGACACTAGATCTGGCCAGTGGCTACTGGCAAGTGCCCTCAACGGATCAGGCTAAAGAAATCAGCGTCTCTGTTACGACATCAGGTATTTTTAAATTCAGAGTATTACCTTTTGGACTGACTACAGCCCCCGCAGTATTCCAACGTTTGATGGAAATTGTTCTCGGAAAATTGATTGGCGCAGAAGTGGCAGTATACATTGATGATATACTGATATCGACGGAAACGGAATTCGAGACACTATGAAGTACTATCGCAAGTGTTAGAAGCCTTTCGTAAAGCGCATCTAAAGTTGAAACCACAGAAATGCCGACTGATGGAAAGCACTATCGATTTTCTAGGGCACATAGTAGGGGCGCAAGGCGTCCATATGGACCCTGATAAGGTGAAACGCATCGTGGAATACCCACGACCTCAAACAGTGTCTCAATTAAGAGCATTTTTGGGCCTTGCAGGCTACTACAGAAAGTTTGTATTGAGGTTTGCGCGCATAGCGAAACCACTGTATGACCTCACAAGTGCTAAAAGAGCGTTTGTGCGGGGTGCAACTCAAGAACAGGCTTTCGAATCCTTGAAGAAGGTTTTCTCAGAAGCACCTGTCTTGCCGCAGCCGCAGGACATAGAGAAAGCGAGGAACGGCCAGCGGCCGTTCTACATATATACAGATGCAAGCAGTGTGGGTGTAGGCGCGGTCCTTGCGCAAGAAAGTGACGACGGATATCTCCACCCGCTGCATTTCGCGTCGAAACCGTTCTCGAAGTGCAGAACGGAAGTATCACATCACAGATCAAGTAGCTTTAGCTGTCATAAATGCCCTAAAAAAGTTCCATTACTTGTATATGGAGTGAAAACAATGGTTCGGACGGACCATGCGCCATCGAAGACACTATTTAAACGCGGCGAATGTATCGCCCCGCATACTACGCTGCGCGCTTGAGATTCAAAGGTATGATGTGATAATTGAATATATCAAAGGAGCAGCTAATGCAGTCGCGGACGCATTATCTCGAGGCATCGTTAAAACATCCGTAACATGCCCTACCCATACAGAGGACGAAAGAGTTGTTTCGAAAATAACTGAGTCAGAGTGGCTCGAAGAGCTTCGCTGTGATAAGGACTTTAACATGGTGATAGAAGCTGTGGAGGCGAACCGCCAAGTAGAAATACGATTTCCAAGGTACGATAAGACGTTATCCTCGGCTGATTTTGTCATTGCTGATGGAAGACTAAAGCTTATCGGACCTGATGAACGTTTGAGGGATGTTGTACCCAACTCCAAAGTCATGATTTGTTCATGGAAGCACATCATGGAACAATGGCAGGTCATTTTGGTGCACGGAAGGTGTTCCAACAGTTGAGAAAACATGTCTTTTGGCCCGGAATGCGCCAAGACATTGTAAAGTGGACCCGCGAATGCCAGCGGTGCTTCATTTCAAACAATACCACAGGTCAGGTGCCACCACTGAAACCAATAGTGACCACAAGGCCATTTGAAATAGTCGGAGTTGACTTACTTGAGATAGGACTCACAAGCAGAGGCAATCGTTACATAGTGACGATTAT